GTCGAAACGACAGCTATGGCGGTAGCCAGGCGATTGATGTTCAGCGACTTGACGGTTCGCCAGAAGGTCAATGGCTTCAATCAAGTGGTGATCCCTAAGCTGAAGTATGCCTTCTCGTGCGTGGTGTTCGGGGCTGGCAAACTAGGTACATTGAAGAAACGAGCAAATCGTTTCGATGCTGACATTCGCAAAGTTATGGAAGAGTCTGGTCTCAGATTCCGAGGTAACTGCGCGGCAAGGCTATATGTGGAAAAAGAGACTGGTGGATTAGGCCTGAAGTCGGTTGAAGAGGAACTAGAGAAAAGCATCACTTACACATGGTGCTATCTAGCCTCGAATACTGATCTTCTGGTACCCTATCAGCTCTCGGAAAGTCTCCGCTCGAGTAATAAGAGATCATTGACCTCTGATTTCCAGAAAGTGCTTTGCACCAATGGAATCGAGGGAAAGGTCCAGCGAACAACTATCGCCACTATTAAGGTCGATGGCCAAACGTTCTTCAATGTGACTGAAGCAGCTCGTGCTGTGGCTAAGCTAATCCGTGCCCGGTGGTCGAAAGTCCACATGACGGCGTGGAAAGGCAAGGCTGTGGCCGGCCGCGTCATCCATGGGAGACGACTAGGTGATGACGAGCCCAATGGACTATGCCTCAAGGATTCGTTCTTGTGGTCGGCCAGAGGGTGGGTCTCATCGAAAGTCCTAAGGAACGTCTGGGCCGTTCAAGAAGGATCTTTGCTTACACGATGCAGTGCGGCCGGCAGGGCATGTATGCCTGGGTCAACCCGGGTCTGTCGAATGCACTGCGCTCCTGATGCCATGGAAACTGCAGAGCACATAGTGTCTTCTTGCAGCCATTGGCGTACTAACATCATGGTGGAACGCCACGATGATGTAGCTCGAGTTCTTTATGCCTCAATCAGACGCAAATACAACATCAACAACGTTGTAAACACACACGTCCCTCATGTATTGGATTTAGGGACAGTCGTGATTCACTGGAATGACTCCATCTGGACCTCTGAAGGTCTTGCGCACAACAAACCAGACATTCTTGTCTGGGACAGACTAATCAATCGTCTGTGGATTATTGAGATCTCGGTCTCATGGTTCACGCGCATCCTCCAGCAGGAAAAGAGGAAGCTTGGAAAATATGGGATTAACAGCACTCTGCCCGAAAACACGCCGGTAGACGGGTTCTTACCTGGCACAAGTCTGAAGTCGGTCCTTCAGAAAGATCGAAAATGCAGAGTTGACGTTATTCCCATAGTGCTGGGTACCTGTGGTGAGGTCTCACCCAACCTAAGGCACTACATACAAGCTCTGGAGCTTCCTGAAGACACAGGTGTCTTGATTGAAAAGCTTGAACGGAGCGCAGTACAGGGAACGAACAGATTGGTCAAATGTCATCTGGCCAATAGTTAAGCAAAGAGCTGGATTGAGCTCATAGAGCGGTAACCAAATTGAAGTACACAGGTCTGTGGAAACGTTTCAATGAAGAATTATAGCTGGTGAAATACAGGTCTGTGGAAACCGTCAGTTGATAAGAGTGGTTCCTAGTAAATTGGCGCTAGGGCGCACAGTGGGAATCCATTTCTCATTTGTCACTCTAAAGAAGTTTGTGGATTGACTGACGCGCATGAATGGATTAACGAGATTCCCACTGTCC